TTTGGTTTTTCTCTGTCCTGTCCAGTTTTGCTTCTTGCTCTTTTTTTTCGTACCTGTTTTTATTTCGTGTTCTTTTGGTTTGTTTCGTTTTTTTTAATAGTTATTTACAATTGAGAAGCGTTGAGCTATTTTCAACGACCGACAGCAACTATCACTAAAAAGCCTATAATGCAACTGAATAAAGTGCATCGACAGAATCGAAATAAAATGGGTGAAGATCGTCGACGAAAATTGACAGCAAATCATCAGCATTTTAACAACTGAATTAAACATTCAGTAGGCATAGAGTGAAAAGTAGTTTATTGAAACGGTTTTTCCCTTCTGAATAGTTTTGAGTTCATTGCAAATTAATGTCAACTCACTGCCAAAGCTAATGGAAAACTTATTTTTTCTTTAATCATTACCTTTTAGTTACACTGCTGAATCCTAAGATCTCCTTTCTTTTTAACGCGAAAAATTAAAAAAACTACTTTTGAACTTATTTGCCATGATCGTGCCAAAAAAAACATCCCTTTGGGCATTATTATTATTTCAAATGAGTCAGTCAAGTAAGAGATCGTTAACGCTTATCACCTTCTGGTGACGAATAACATAACTTTGTTACCGATTGCTATAAAAATTGGTCCTTTTAAAAACTGCGGAGATTTTAGTATTACAAACAGTTTCAAATTTGGTTTCCCTCTGTTCTATAGAGTTATGCTTCTCATTTTTTTTTTCGTGCCTGTTTTTATTTCATGTTCTTTTGATTTGCTTTGTTTTTTTGCAGTTATTGGCAATTGAGAAGCGTTTGGCTATTTTCAGCGACCGACAGTAAATATCATTAAAATCGCCTACAATGCGATTGACTAAAGTGTATCATGGTAAACTCAATCGGCAGAATCGAAATAAAATGGGTGAAGATCGTCGACGAAAATTGACAGAGAATCATCAACATTTTAACAAATGAATTCAACAAATAATAGGCTTTCTTACTTCTCGCTTCTTTATTTTGGGTCTGTTTTTATTTCGTGTTCTTTTGTTTTGTTTCGTTTTTAGCAGTTACTGACAATTGAGAAGCGTTTAGACGATTTCAGCGACCGGTAGCAAATATTGTTAAAAACGCCTACAATGCAACTGAATAAAGTGTATCATAGTAAACTCAATCGGCAGAATCGAAATAAAATGGGTGAAGATCGTCAAAGAAAATTGACAGCGAATCATCAGCAATTTAACAATTGAATCAAACAACTAATAGGCCTAGAATGAAACTCGTTTTAGTGATCCGAACAATACCAGAAAAAAACAACTAATGATGAAAATGTCTTTCTCACCTTTTTCCTTCTGTTGAAAAATTGATCATTTCCAAAGTAAATGGAGAGTCGCTAGATATAAAACCACGTTAAAAACTCTGGAGATTTGAATATTACCAGGAGTTTAAAACTTGGTTTTCCTCTGTTCTGTCGAGTTCTGCTTCTCGTCTTTTTTTTTCCGTACCTGTTTTATTTTGTGTTTATTTCGTGGTGACGAATGACATAACTATTTTACCAGCGTCATCGATCTGTATAACCGACTGTTGTCAAAAATTGGTCCTTTTAAAACCTCTGGAGAATTTAGTATTACGAACAGTTTAAAATTTGGTTTTTCTCTGTTCCGTTGAGTTTTGCTTCTCGCCTTTTTTTCGTACCTGTTTTTATTTCGTGTTCTTTTGGCTTGTTTCGTTTTTTTTAACAGTTATTTACAATTGAGAAGCGTTGAGCTATTTTCAGCGACCGACCGCAAATATCATTAAAAAAGCTTATAATGCAACTGAATAAAGTGCATCGGCAGAATCGAAATAAAAATGGGTGAAGATCGTCAACGAAAATTGAAAGCGAATCATCAACATTTTAACAACTGAATTAAACATTTAGTAGGCCTAGAGTGAAAAGTAGTATCTTTAAACAGTTTTTCCCTTCTGAACAGTTTTGAGTTCATTGTAAATTAATTTCAAGTCACTGCCAAAGCTAATGGTAAACTTATCTTTTGTTTTAATCATTACCTTTTAGTGACACCGTTGAATCCTAAGATCTCCTTTCTTTTTAACGCGAAAATTTAAAACTGCCTTCGAATTTAATTGCCATAATCGTGCCAAAAAAACATCTCTTTGGGCATTATTATTATTTCAAATGAGTCAGTCAAGTAAGAGATCGTTAACGCTTGCCACCATCTGGTGACGAATAACGTAACTCCATTACCGATTGCTGTCAAAATTGGTCCTTTTAAAAACTCCGGAGATTTAAGTATTACGAACAGTTTAAAATTTGGTTTTTCTATGTTCTGTCGAGTTTTGCTTCTCGCCTTTTTTTTTCGTACCTGTTTTTATTTCGTGTTCTTTTAATTTGGTTTGTTTTTTTGCAGTTATTGGCAATTGAGAAGCGTTTAGCCGATTTCAGCGACCGGCAGCAAATATTATTAAAAACGCCTACAATGCAACCGAATAAAGTGTATCATGGTAAACTCAGTCGGCAGAATCGAAATACAAATGGGTTAAGATCGTCAACGAAAATTGACAGCGTATCATCAACGTTTTAACAATTGAATCAAACAACTAACAGGCCTAGAATGAAACTCGTTTTAGTGATCCGAACACTACCAGAAGAAAACAACTAATTATAATAATATCTTTCTCACCTTTTTCCTCCTGTTGAAAATTTGATTATTTCCAAAGTAAATGGAGGGTCGCTAGATATAAAGCCACGATCCGTGAAGACACAAACAATAAAAAGGAAGAAAATGACGAGTATTTTGCAGAAGGATGTATTTCAGAATCCAATAACTATTATCTTTATATGTTTATGACCTCACTTCGAAGGGAGCCAATAAAAGGACATCAAAATTGTCCCATTGCAACCATCTGGTGTGGAATTAAGTAAGTGTTGACTAAATATAGTTTATTTTAATGGTTTTTCCCTTCTAAAGAGTTCTGAGTTGATTTTAAATTAATTTCAACTTACTGCCAAAGCTTATCAAAAACTGAATTTTTTTGTTTCAATCACTATATTTTAGTGACACCGCTGAATCCTAAGATCTCCATTGTTTTTTTTATGCGCAAATTAAAACTATTAGCAACTGAGAAGTATTTAGCTATTTTCAGCGACCGACAGCAAATATAATCAATCAAAGGGCTCTTGGAGCCAGCTCATTCATGTTATGGCTTAAGTTTGTATTGATATCTTGGACTGTTTGAATAAGGTACAGCTGAATTCAGTTTATGTGAAATTTCAAGACTTTTGGGCAGTTGTGTGATAAGAAAACGTGTTCATTTGTCGTGCTGGGAATTGGAAATAAGGTTATGTGGGCTGGAGGTGGGATGGGCAGAGGTCATTAGGCAGACAGTGTCCTTTTTGTTGGTGCGTGTGTGTGTTTGTGGGGCGGAGGGTGGGCTGGGTGGGCATGATCAGGCATCAAATTTTGCTCAAGCAGCAAAATATTTATAACCCTCATCTTTCATGATCATTTGCACAATTGTGAAATATTCCTTGCTCGTTTCTTGATATCTTTTGTTTTTAATAAAGCGGTCGTTGCATTTGGTATTTAACAAAGCGGCCACAATTGTTCTTAATAGAATTTCAAGCCCCCATATAGTCTGATTTTCACATATCAATATTTGCGTAATCCCCAAACAGATGAGAGATAAAACAGTCAGAAAAGTAATCAAATGGCCAGTCACAAAAGCCACGCTTCTCTTTTCCCTATAAAAATTCGCCAGTTCCTCATGTAAGCCAATAACAATATAAGGCACATATGTGAAAATCAGTGCGCGAACACCTCTAAACGTTAAAAATATATCAAGTCGAGGGAACAGTTTTGGTCTCGGCCCTCATTTTTGTCAACAAAGTGAACACATATCGGTTAAAAAGATGAAACGTATGGACCACGTGCAAAGCTGTCAATTGTTTCTCGAATATTGCGCGTGTTAAATATTCGATAGTGACATCTCATTTACATCTACATCCAATTTTATTAAGTTGGTAAATTCTATACAGACATCACACCAACCAACTCGCGCGCAAAGTGAGAAGACTCTAGGAAGGCTTGAAATTATTTTAAGAACGTCTGTGATCAAGAAACGGGCAAGGAATTTTCCCCAATAGTGCGAATGATCGTAAAAGATGATCGCGGAAAAGCGATTGCGTGACACTCGGTAAGTTTTAATGATATGTTATCACGTATCAGAGGCAAAAATAGGTCCGCAATGCGTACGTGTGTCTAGTGCTGGGTTTTAGCGGTACTTCCGTGGGGTCTTGTTTTGTGTAGGTTTGGTTGCAAGTTCAATTCAATAATTTGAACAAGAATTGATTAAAATAATTTTAGCTACAAGATTAGGTGGCTAAAATCTGGAATACAGAGTCTGGAACATAGACATCAGGGATGAACAAGTTTATTGTAAAAAACAGCCTGCATTACAAAAGGAACCGTAACTGTATGTATTTGATACAATAAGAAAGAACAAAACATGATTCAAGTTAGGAATTGTGATTTTTTTCTTTTACATCAGAAAATTTAATGAACATATAACTGTAATATAAAAAAGAAATAGAAAGTTAACAACAGGAGAGTATGAAGAAATGCGAACAGCTCTACTACTTGATAATTACTGAAGGTTTCAACTGAGACGGGTTACTGTTGTAATTGAAAATTTTAACAAGGCAACATCAGTAATCTGCATTAAAAGCCTCGAGTTCCTGTTGAAACTTTCTCTTCTCAATGTATAAGCATTAAAAAGACTGTTCATAAATGTACTTCAGTTGCAGTTTTCAATTGAATGTACAAACTCAATAAAATATATATCTAAATACTTTTAAATACAAAAAGTTACGTGGGAGAAGGGGAATGCTATAACAGAACATTGTCCCAGTGATAATAACATGAACATTTTTATCTTTAGTGAAAGATACAACAATGGCTTTGGTATCCTGTTAAATGGTAATATAGAGTGGATGCATTCTGATCTTTACCATTATTTTGGTTCTTGCTGCAGTTTAGTTCTCTGCAACACTGACTGTAGCCACAACTTTAGTTTTCTTATGAAAGGTAACAAAGAGCATTGGTGTATTTAGGAATGCTTCAACAACAATATCTTCACTTAATGACTGCTTAGTGTCAACTTTAAACAACTGTAAGGCACTGAGCAAAGTATCATTAAAAAATGTTACAGTGGTGTTGATGTCATCATGTCTCAGCAATGCTTGCAAGTGGTACTGACTGCTGCAAGCAGACACTTTCTGCCTGTGGCCACATGTTTCACACTTTACTACATTCCCTGGTGTTGCTGGAAGCTTTTTGTTACATTTGCAACATTGGCGATAGCACATGAAATTTTGAACACCAACGACTTCAGCATTTGTTGATGTTTGGGTGAAGTAGTCTGGCAAATCACCTGGTAAAGCTACTTCCTCTTGGAAGGGATCAGCTGGTGAAATGGAACAGTCATGCTTTGGTGTAGTAAGGTAAATGGAGTAGTTGTCATTATCCTTCGTCACTTTAAGGTTACAGAAGTTATATGTGTTGTCGTCTGCAACTTCTGTAATCAGGTGCTCCCACAGGGTTAGTTTGATTGATCCAGATCAGATGTACTACAGGGCACAAAAGCAATAATCATAAAATAAACATACCTGGATATGTGTTGCATATCACATTTCTGCAGATTACCCCTTAGATGTCAATCACAGTGCATGATTGGTATCTAAGATGTACATTTGAGTTAATTTCATTTTTTTTGTACTCATTAACTATGAATATTCTCTTTAAGACAAAAAGAAAAACACATGGAAGTTACAGTGAAGGTGACAAGAAAACCATGAAGGTCTATTTTTGAATCAATGCACAGATTGCTTTGTGATCAGAAAAATAAGTTTCTAAAATGTGTACATGGATTTGTGATTCAGGTAAATTAGTGTAGACATGGTCTATAGTGGTTCTGTTATCAATGGTAGAACATGATACCAGTTGTCTGGAACTGTGATCTCTTATAAATAGATTATAAAGAGGAATCTTGTCTTTTTCATTTAACCAATTGATATTGAAATCACCAATGAAAACTTTGAAACCTGAAATATCAAGGGTAAGAAGTCTGATCAATGCTTCACACATTTGTCTAATTGGTACTCTTGGTGACACTATCTGATCGTCATAATTCAGATTTACAAATGTCACTGTAGTGAACATAAACAAGTCTATCATTATTTTCCGGTCGTTTTTGACCAAGGAATATACCAGGATATGGTAATTCTTCAGAATACTGATCTTGAAATATGCCTAATGGTTCCTTTCCTTCACCTGGTGCAACACTTAGAATACATTGACTCCCCTTGTCTTCAACAAAATCTGTGTTAGTTAACATAGTGTCAGTAACTCCAGCAGGTATTTCTGCTTCATCCTCACTCCACTGATCTTCAGTCTCAATAACTTCACTAGAGGAAGTACATGTATTATTTGTGGTATTACTAGTACTGTTGTGAATATTTTGCAGTTCTTCAGTTTCATTTTCAATACTTCTGTCATCAAATAGAAAGTTTGATGTGCATTCTTCTCCCCAGGCTTGATTAACTGTTATTCCTTCTTGTCTATACAGGGTACTGTTAGTGACAAGCCAGTTTACTGCTTGGACAACTTTATGAGGTCTTATGTTAAGGGACAATGCTGAACTTTTGTATTGCAATCTTCTTTTTAAATTTACCTTAATTGTACCTGTTTCTGATGGTAACCTTGGTAACATATTCACAGTCTCAGACACTTCTGCTGGTACATTTACAACATTTCCATGTATTTTGAATTGTCTACCTCTTGGTGCCTGCATTAATTTTAAAAAAGCAAGTCTTGGAGCTAAAAGTCTGCTTTCCAATTCATTCAGGTCAAAAAAGTCTGGTTTTGTTGCAAATTGCATTCCATTCAAAACAGCAGAAGGGGGAACTTTATGTTTTACTAAATAATTATGGCATGTTCTACACAACCACTCCATATTTTTCACACTTTTTCGATTAGATAAAAATTTTCAGCTGATGAAGGATATTCCTTTCTTATTTTATCAGCAAGAGAAACACTGTGTTTATACCATAACTGATCACAACAGCTACAGACATATACAGGACCATTGGACACCAGTTCATGAAACAATGAAATGAAATAGTCCACATTTTTTTGGTTTGTATTGTTACCTTTTTCAAGAGTTGTTCCTATTTTAATGAGACATTCTGTATTTTGATTTTTGTCAAGATAAGAATTTTGTTATGCAGTTTCGCATCTATGGCTGGGATTATTTTCATTCAATTTCCCCTTGTGACTGCTTTTCTTTTTTTTGCAATAATATTCCCTCGTGTAAGCACTGCAGTTGCGTTTTGTGCTTGCATCATTAAGTTTGCTTCCTTTAGATGGTAAATTTCTTCTTTCATCAACCTTCTTTCTTTTTCGATATTCCCTCATGTAACTGCTGTGCTACCTTTTTGAAGTGCTGATATGTGAATTCCCAGAGACAACACTTTCTTCTATCATATTTAAATCACGATGACTTTGCTGACTTTCTGATGAGCTACTGCCAAACATACAAGGCACTGTTGACACAGTGTACTTCACTTACATGACCTAAATATATTGATGTAACTGGCTCTTCTAATAACTGAACAGACTGTACTATAGTTGTGTGACCAAAATTTTCATGGGATTCTATGATGTGAATTCTCAAATAATGTGACTCTGCAACTGCTTGAACAATGAGTGCATCACACCATGTACCTCGTAATGACATGTTGGTCAAATATTCATTCCATGAATTCTGGGTATTGCTTTCAATGAAACGTTCTGGGTTTGCTCTTAGATAATCAATACCAGTTTGCCTAACATGCAAGTGATGGCATGGATCACCATATAACTGATAAGAAACAGCTCTAGAAAAACAGTCACCAGCACCCCCAACATCTAGGGGTCTCAATCCCAGCTGACGTAGCCGAAAGTTTAACAATATGGTGGAACCAACTGATACTGTAGTTTCAGTGTTGACATTTACATGTAGTTGAGGGCCTGGATTTAATTCAATATCACCTGAAGTCAAGCTTCATTCTAGATACAGAAAATCTTCTAGAATGGTTGCTTGATTTCTTCAAAAGCTTATTTACGGTTGGTTTTCTTATATTAGCAAAGCTGGTGAAAAAACTGTCACATCTCTTAAGATATCTTACGTAACACAACTTATAGTCAGTAGCAAAGATGTATAACCTTGAAGACTTAGGAATATATTTCCTAATGATGACCTTAAGTTTATACCTTGTTTTTCTTTTTTTCATAAACTGCAAAATCCGTCTCATCGAGACCCTCGACGGCTCTCGGTCTCTACGTCGTTTCGTTTTGTTTTTGGTCAGCTATTTTGAAATGTGTATCAATTCCATCTGTTCCACGTGAACACAATAATTATATCCACATCAGTTGTTTTCGAGAAATCGCTTACATTACGTTTAATCGCATTTATACTGCTACTAACATAACTTTTTCTGTTCATATATACCACAGCTTTCGCAGATGTTTCGTCAGTCAAAGGAGTCTTTCCTTTAACATCAGTCAGGTTTCTCGCTCTTCGATATACATTTTGTGTAATCTCCAAACGGGCAGGCTCAATAATCCCCACAAGGGGCTCAATTTTTTCCCCACAAGGGGCCCAATTTCCCCCAAAAGGAGCTCAATGTTTGTGTTTACGGCCTTTTCTTTTCCCCAAATAGATCTCACGAAGCTGAAGTTCTTTCCTTTACGCATCGTAAACAACACCGCAGCATGACTATTCTGTTGGCGTGGAGAGCATCGGTCGAACACTTGAAAACATCCTTTGAAGTCTTTTACTCGACCACATTGACTCAAACTGCGAAAGCTGTGGCATACTGAGAAACCAACGTTATAGAAGTTCATCATAAAGTTTACAAGAGCAAAAGGACACTCACCAACTTTCCGAAGTGTGATCCACAAGTATGAAATTCCTCCTTTCCTCAAGGCACGGGTAAAAGCACATGATGGTCAAAGATCAGAGTCATCGTCATATTTTCGTCCCCGAATTCAATTGCTCCCGACTCTTCCTTGCGGTTTTCTACTTGAATCCAATTGGTCAACCGACAGTTTCCGAAATTATAACGATAAAATATCGACATGGTTACACATTCCACTGGTTGAAAATCAGTGTACAATTCATGTTAACAGTCACGTAAGGTAAATTATGAGTAAAACATCATATTTCGTGCTCAAATGTGGCGTATATAAAGTGCTTTTCGAATTCCGTACGCTCTTCTATTTTGTCTGCGTGCTAACGCACTTGACACAAAAAGCCTATAATGCAACTGAATAAAGCGCATCGGCAGAATCGAAATAAAATGGGTGAAGATCGTCAACGAAAATTGACAGCGAATCATCAACATTTTAACAACTGAATTAAACATTTAGTAAGCCTAGATTGAAAAGTAGTTTATTTAAATAGTTTTTCCCTTCTGAATAGTTTTGAGCTCATTGTAAATTAATTTCAACTTACTGCCAAAGCTAATGGAAAACTTATTTTTTGTTTTAATCATTACCTTTTTAGTGACACCGCTGAATCCTAAGATCTCCTTTCTTTTAAATGCGAAAGTTAAAAGCTACTTTTGAGTTTATTTGCTATAATCGTGCCAAAAAAAAGCATCTCTTTGGGCATCACGATTATTTCAAATGAGTCAATCAAGTAAGAGATCGTTAACGCTTGCAACCATCTGGTGATGAATAACGTAACTGTATTACCGATTGCTGTCAAAAATTGGTCCTTTTAAAAACTCTGGAGAATTTAGTATTACGAACAGTTTAAAATTTGGTTTTTCTCTGTTCTGTCGAGTTTTGCTTCTCGCTTTTTTTTCGTACCTGTATTTCGTGTTCTTTTGTTTTGTTTCGTTTTTTTAACAGTTATTTACAATTGAGAAGCGTTGAGCTATTTTCAGCGACCGACAGCAAATATAATTTAAAAAGCCTATAATGGAACTGAATAAAGTGCATCGGCAGAATCGAAATAAAATGAGTCAAGATCGTCAACGAAAATTGACAGCGAATCATCAACAATTTAACAATTGAATCAAACAACTAACAGGCCTAGAATGAAACTCGTTTTAGTGATCCGAACAAGACCAGAAGAAAACAACTAATGATGATAAGGTCTTTCTCACCTTTTCCTTCTGTTGAAAATTTGATTATTTCCAAAGTAAATGGAGAGTCGCTAGATATAAAACCACGATCCGTGATGACACAAACAATAAAAAGGAAGAATATGACGAGTATTTTGCATAAGGATGTATTTCACAATCCAATAACTATTATCTTTATATGTTTATGAGCTCACGTCGAAGGGAGCCAATAAGAGCACATCAAAATTGTCCCATTGCAACCATCAGGTGTGGAATTAAGTAAGTGTTGACTATTCCCTTCTAAACAGTTCTGAGTTGATTTTAAATTGATTTCAACTCACTGCCAAAGCTTATGAAAAACTGAATTTTTTTTGTGTCAATCACTATATTTTAGTGACACCGCTGAATCCTAAGATCTCCATTGTTTTTTACGCGCAAATTAAAACTACCATAATCGTGCCGAAAAAAAAAAAAAACTTGGGGAATCATCATCATTTCAAATGAGTCAATCAAGTAGGAGATCGTTAACGCTTGCAACCATCGTGTAACGAATAACGTAATTATTTTACTAGCGTCACTGGACTGTTGTAAACGAGAGCTGTCGAAATTGGTGCTTTTACAAACTTCGGAGATTTAGCATTACAGACAGTTCAATATTTAGTTTATCTTTTTTCTGCCGAGTTTTCCCTCTCGCTCTATCTTTTCGGTACCTGTTTTTATAATGTTTTGTTTTGTTTTGTTTTGGTTTTTTTTTTTTGGCAGTTATTAGCAACTGAGAAGTGTTTAGCTATTTTCAGCGACCGACAGCAAATATAATTAATCAAAGGGCTCTTGGAGCCAGCTCATTCATGTTATGGCTTAAGTTTGTATTGATATCTTGGACTTATTGAATATAGGTACAGTTGAATTCAGTTTATGTGAAATTTCAAGACTAATGGAACAAATTTTCCTTTTCTTTTTGGGCAGTTGTGTGATAAGAAAACTTGTTCATTTGTCGTGGTGGGAGTTGGAAATAAGGTTATGTGGGCTGGAGGTGGGATGGGCAGAGGTCATTAGGCAGACAGTGTCCTTTTTGTTGGCGCGTGTGTGTGTTTGTGGGGCGGAGGGTGGGCCGGGTGGACATGACCAGGCATCAAATTTTGCTCAAGCAGCAAAATATTTATAACCTTCATCTTTCATGATCATTTGTACTATTTTGAAATATTCCTTGCACGTTTCTTGATATCTTTTGTTTTTAATAAAGCGGTCGTTGCATTTGGTATTTAACAAAGCGGCCACAATTATTCTTAATAGAATTTCAAGCCCCCATATAGTCTGATTTTCACATATCAATATCTGCGTAATCCCCAAACAGATGAGAGATAAAACCATCAGAAAAGTAATCAAATGGCCGGTCACGAAAGCAACGCTTCGCTTTTCCCTATAAAAATTCGCCAGTTCCTCATGTAAGCCAATAACATTATAACGCACATATGTGAAAATCAGTGCGCGAACACCCCTAAACGTTAAAAATACATCAAGTCGAGGGAACAGTTTTGGTCCCGGCCCGCATTTTTGTCAACAAAGTGAACACATATCGGTTAAAAAGATGAAACGTATAGACCACGTGCAAAGCTGTCAATTGTTTCTCGAATATTGCGCGTGTTAAATATTCAATAGTGACATCTCATTTACATCTACATCCACTTTTATTAAGTTGGTAAATTCTGTGCCGACGTCACACCAACTAACTCGCGCGCAAAGTGAGAAGACTCTAGGAAGGCTTGAAATTATTTCCAGAACGTCTGTGATCAAGAAACGGGTAAGGAATTTTCCCCAATATTGCGAATGATCGTAAAAGATGATGGCGGAAAAGCGATTGCGTGACGCTCGTAAGTTTTAATACGATATGTTATCACGTATCAAACGAAAAAACAGTATAAATTCTCAGTCTGCATTTGGTAACCAGTCTGCAGTCTACATTTTATACCTAGTCTGTGCTGTGTGCAGTCTGCATTTTGTACTGACCGAATTGGTATTGCTGTTTTTGTCTGAGCGAGCCTCAAGTCCGGACCGAAATAATGGAGCTCGAAAGAAAATATTTAGACCATCTTGGCCGCTATGATTAATGTGTTGACTGTATGTTGAAAAGCTCCCGAGGAAAAGCACAATGATAGAGTTATGATAACTTTATACCAGATGAAGATGAACGCAAATGCGTGGCTTGCCAATATGACTGTCTCTGATGCTGAAGCTCTTCTGCGTAGTAACGGCGTGATTTGAAATGAACCCGCTAAGGGTCCCCTAGGTGTGAACATTTTGGCTTTTCGATTCAAGTTGCATTTTTAGAAGTTTAGAAATGTGATTTGCGGTTATCATTGTTTTTAAACCATACAAACATCTTATTTCTTTCCACGTGAGTTTCTGAGCTTCATCGAAATTAATTTTTTTGACTTTTACTGAGTGGGGAGGGGTAGCATACGAGACTACTTCCGTTCACGGTCTGCAATGCAACTTCCGTCCACGGATACAACTTCCGTCAACATCTGCTCCACCAAGATACCTCATCCATTGCTTTCAGCATGAATGAGCTAAAAAACCTACAATGTAATTAACCAAAGTGCATCATGGTAGATTCAATCGGCTGAATTGAAATAAGATGGATGATGATCTTCAACGAAAATTGATTATACACAGCTTTCATCAACAATTCAACAACTGAGTTAAACAACTAATAGGCCTCGAATGAAACGTTTTAATGATCCGAAGGATACCGGAAGAAAACAAATAATATGATAATAATACCTTTCTCAACGTTTTCCTTCGGTTGAAAAAAATTATTCCCAAACAAAGTGGAGAGTCGCCAGATTTAAACCTCGTTCCGTGATGACACAAATAATAAAAAAGTAAATAAATAGCAAAAAAGGAAGAAGACGACGAGTATTTTGCACAAGGATGAATTTCAGAATCCAATAACTACTTTCTTTGAATGTTTATGACTTCAATTTGAAGCGAGTCAATAAAAGGACAGCAAAATTCATTTTGTAAGCCATTTCAATAAACAACTTAACAACTTCGACCATTTGGTCATTTCGGGAATGATTGATCTCGCGAAAGCCTCAGCTTGATATTTTCTCGTAACAACCTCACTGTCTGATATTAAGTAGTTAGAACTGTCAAAGTAATCGACCAAGGAACCAGTAATTAATTATCGCCAAGAAGAGGCGAGGAGGGTGGAAAGGGTCCCAAAAACTTTACCTGATCCTCCAGATGGATTTCTAGCATTCTAATATTCCCCCATCATTGGCAATTGTAATGTCAATGATTCTATCAGAAAACGGTAGCCTGCTTACCGAGACTCCCAAAAGAAGGGAAGAGTGGATGAGCGAGTGGGTGTATGGGATAAAAGAAACATCTAATTTGCCATGGTCCCTCCTTTTAACTATGTCAGCGCTAACTTTCCTCCCAGCTCCCCTTGAAAACGTTATCACTCCCTTCCCCCCCCCCTGTTTTTCTCTCTTTAAATTCTTCCTGTTTGATAAAGGAAATCAAAAGGAACTAAAAGAGATTCCTAGCCCAGTAGAATGGCTCTTTCTCATAGTGGAAAAATTGATTCGCACGTGTTCTTAAGGTCAGGCTATGTATAGCAGCCAACGACCACAGTCTCTCTTTAAATGGCCCTTGAGGTTATTTCATACGACTAAGAACTCTTCAGATTGCAACACCAAGTCACAAGAGGGGCCTTACTTTACTGGAGTCATTCATTACCAAACACTGCGCCCTTTGGCCTTTCCATGAAGTTTGATACCAAACAACATCTCGAGAATATCTTTGAACGCCACTTATTATAATTGAATAAATAAAAGATTGCCAGCTTAACTATGATACAAGAGAGGTCAGTTCGCCATCGCCATCGCCATCGCCATCGACGGTGCACATAACAAGGAATAATAAGTCCGATATAGCTGTTTCTTATAACTGTCGAAGCTTTTCGTTGTTCTGTTTTACGTTGAGAGGTTAAAGGAAAATTTAAAAAGTGAGCTGGGTGTAAGCGGAAGTTCCGGATCAGCACGGTATTGATATTTTAAACTTCGAGAATGTGCATATTTGTGAACTCGCTTGGTAGCTTGAATTAGGAGTTATATTGGCGTAAATCGGTCGTGTCTTGTCCTCACATTGAATAGGGTGGCTTATTCTCACAACTCGTCAAATTATAACTTAAACTAGGTATACCTATCGATAGAGTGCCAACGAGCGATCAATTTGTGGTTTGATAAGGGGGTTTATGCCGAGGCATAGTTTTTTTCAATTGATAAAAGGGTTTTTAATAAGAGTAACATGGAAACTGTACTAAGGTTTTAAGGGCTTGGTAATATTAACCAAGTCATTTAATAACTTGAACATGTGAAAGGATGTGAATAGTTCTTGTTATTAATGTAACATTATAAAGAATAACAAAACAAAGAATATGAATTGTGTTGTATTGTATAACTGTTGCTTTGAAAGAGCATAAAAAAACAACACTGAATTTTTCAGTTACAATATGTTGATTGAAGCATATAGAAGGGGTTTTTGTTCGTACAATGTTTGTGAACAGAAACATACATGCACTAGTCTTTGCGAACTTAGTAATCTTAAAAAAAGCATATGAACTTGAACGTGAAAACCAATGTGAATGGTTTTCTGCTATTAATACAACATCTTGAACATCAATAGCATGGTAACTTGTTTCGTATGGTAATGAAAGTTTGTTGAAGTCTTGATACTTAAGTGTTGTAAATAAATATTTTAGTCGGTGGTCTGGCTTTGTTAATTCTGTACTGTAGGACAGTTTAACTTGACAGTGAAGATGATGATATTTCAGTGATCACTTTTCTGTTGACATTATATTTGAATTCTATGTCTTGAAGATCCATAAGTAGTTCTTCAATTGTGTCCGAGTCACTAAGTAATGAGATTGTCGGGTGGGTGGCGAAGAGGGACTCCAAGAAATCTGTAAATGCTGTTAACCAAATGTCTTTTTCATCCAAATGTACAAGTAGTTGAACAGATGCATCTCGTTTGCATTGCATCCCATATATGAATAGTAGCAGTTCCAGTTTCATCCTCCAGGACACAGTCTTCCTTTACAGTTGTCATTTCACTTGAGGATTTCAATTGAACAGGTTAGGGTTTTCATTTCCCAGTGAAATGGAAGCAGTGACATTTACTTTCTGATTGACTTGGAGTGTGGGGAGCTCCTCAAGTGTAATCTTCTTGGCAGGCTGAGTTGAGGGCTCAGTCTTTTGGGATTTGTTGATGGGTTTGTAATCAAAATCAATATCAAAGGTTGGTGTTACCCTTACTGTTGATTGCTGGTTGAATATGATGTCATTGTTGCTGTTTTGCTTAGTGTTTTTGAGGGTTAAAGCTGTTTTTGATGCTTCATGTTCTTGTAGCATGGAGTGGTTTGCAATATTAAATCCTACAACTCGTCTCAATTTTGATGGGCTGGTTTGTAAATCAAAATCATACCACTGATTTTGATTTCGTGAGCGTTTTATAGGACTCAAATTCTGAATGTAGCCATGGTGATTATCTAAGAAAGAGGAAATAAAAACTGAAATTAGACATGAAATGTTGATCACAATAAGTTACTGCATCTTTTAATAACATGTGGACTGTAAAATTCATAACTCAACTAACAAATGTTTTTTTGGTACTGTCAATCAAATGTTCTACAGCTCTTTGCAGCTCGTGACTACTTTCAATTGTGCAGTAATCAAATCATGTCAAATCAAATCAAATCATTCAGCACAGTTCAGACAGCAGAAGTTGGGAGGAGCCACCAAAGATCTCAGTGACGGTAGTGAAATTGCGTTTGTCAGTAAGGTTTGAATTTTAGAAATGGCAATATATTTTTTGTGTTGATGTAATCTAGTATGGTGAGGCCAGACGAAGATTTTGTAACAATGTCTCTTTGAACCAATAGGTAATTTTTTAGCAGTGAATGTAGCGTTACTCCATTGACGTTGAATGATGCTTTTCCAGTGTAAGCTAAAACCTTACATTTTTCCTGAAGTAAATTTCTTAAGGAATCAATGAGATAGCTTTTCCCTGTTCCTGCTACACCCATAATAAGAAAGCGCAAGGGATTTTGTTCACCACTGGCAAAATGATCGGAAACTATTTGATAAGCTACTTGCTGCATTCTACTAAAAGTTGAAGTATCTATGATTCTTGTTTCACAGGAATGGTGAGCACTATTCTTGTTTTTCTCTCTGTTTATCCATGTAGGCATTGCATTTATCTCATCATTTGTGAAATACTGATACACTTGATGCCAATATGCATGTGGTACAGGTGTAGATTTCTCACAAGTATCAGTTGTTTGAATAGTCAACTCTGCCATAAGCATCCACTCTTCTCTTTCACTTTTGGTGTTGTAATCTTCTTCAAAAGAATCCTCATTCAAAGGTGTTATGCATATGTAGTTGTTTACATCTTGCATTTTGGTTTCCCAATCAGGGACTAAGGATTTTGCAGTATCAGTTAGCAAGAATTTTTTCCAACATGTTGTGTATGTCTCATCAGCCTGTGGAAGGTTATCCCATGCATCATCCGGTGTATATTGCCAGGGTTTGTATTTAAGCAACTGATATTTACAAAACAAACCATAGTCTTCACTCTTTGGATTGGATGAATAATTAGGATAGGTTTTGACAATTACAGTTTTGTCTCTTTGTTTAAGTTTAGAAGCTTTGAAAGTAAACGTTGATGCAAACTTGAAAAAATTGTACTCTAATAACTGCGGGTCTACCTTGAGATACTTGTAACGTTCAGCATAGGTATCACGCAATGAAGGAGCAGTACAAATTTGGTTATTTGCTTTAGGTTTACTCTTCTCGATCCATCAAGAGATGCAGTGATAACCTCATGTGTTGCACTTACAAATTTTATTGACAGTAAATGATGCATTACCTCTTGAATAGAATAGTCTCTTTGAACAACAGTTTTCAGCAAAATTTGCTTAAGGGCACTTGGAGTATCAGTTGTATCATTCATTTTGGTGATTATATTGGTGAAAGCATTTTTGACAACAGAAGATGCTTTCTCAGCTTTGGATGTGTATTTAACAAGATATTCCAGACAGGCATGATAATCTATAACAATTTGAATGTCGCAATTTGCTCTCCATCCTTGAAGTTGTAATGGTTGATGACGATTCAATCTAGAGTCATTTCGTTTTGTGACAATAACAGCTTTATATTTTGTTTCACCAGTTTTTGTATTTATTGGTTCAAAATCAAGTCTAGTGTCAGGACAGTCGTCATAAGGAAAGTTAAATCTACAATGCAATTCGGATTTGTCATTTTGTCGAAGACAATATTTAGTACTACATGTAGTGTGTCTCTCGACTGAATTTAACAAATGTACGTAATCATTTGCCATTTCACTGGTTTTTAATGAAAGATATGATTTTTGACATGGGTGAATTTCTGGTTTTGACCATCCATCATCAGGAGAGGAAGGATTCCGGGTTGACATCAAAAAGTCAACATATCTACAAAGGATTGTCTCAGCCTCTTTGCCTTCTTGTATTTCGTTGTCAATATTCACAATTTGCTCTTTAGTTAGTTCATGTTGGTTTTCACTTTTAAATTTTGAAGCTAAGTATCCCTTGAGGGCCTTCTCAGTGAGGGTACATAATCCTGCGTCATTTTTTAATTTAGCAACTCCATGACAATGGATTGATCCTCTTTGGACTGCATATTCATATCTATACCAATGCCAGGAAGAGTACAGTGATTCTTTCAACCAAAACTTGACAAACCGATCAGTTCTTTCTGAAAAGACCCAATCTAACAGATGTGGATTGTTTAAAACATTTTTGTGTCTATCACCTGGAGTCAGTTTTTCAGTGAAACCGTTGCTTAAAAGCTTGTGAAATTCTGGCCAGTGATATTCTGCACATGATAAAGTAAAAAATATTGCTGGAGGTCCCTTTTGGCTTATTGTAGCTTTCAAATCTTCTTTTGACTTTTGCCAATAACCAGTGCTACCAGTTATGTTTTTGGCATAATGCATCAGCTTAGACATAAGTGAAGAATAGCTATTGGTAGTAAGCATTTTTTTTAGTTGTTCAACAGTTAGGTGGGCTTCATTTGGATTTTGTTTAAGAAATATACTACCCTGACCAAGAAGTCTGTGTCTTTGGATCATATTGAATGCCCAGTAAGCAAATCGTGGATGTCTTGCAAATCTGTACACCCATTCACCATTGATGTTTTCAGCAAACTTTATCAAATGCTTTACTTTTTCACCCAAGGTTGCATGTCGCTTTGTAGCAGTATTAGTTGGATCGCCTGTACCATCAGGGAAAAGAGTGGGAAAAGCCATTGTTGCTAGTAGTTGAATTTTGAACTCATTTAAAGGTTCGCTTCCCCTATTAGGCCATGCAGTTTTATGGTGTTGTAATAGTTCGTCTTTTATTAGCAGCTTTTGTGTCTTCAAAACAACAGGATTTAATACAGTGCTGCTTAACTCTGTTTCATGATTGAATGGTATTTCATCACTATCAAGTGGACCTCTATCTGGATCTATTTCATCGTCACTGATTTTAGTACAGTGAACCTTTTGCAAGTCGCTAGGAATTCCTTCAGTTGGAAGGGAAGACAAACAAGTATAATCAATTTTAATGTTTTTGTACACAGGATTGTGATCAACTAACCACTGCAGAGCCATAGAAACTTTTTGTCTTCGAACAATTAAATCTTTAGAAGTGTTATTCTTGCCTTCCGCTATTATTACTATTATAGGGAGTTCTTTGGGATATTTTGGTAGTGTGTCGGCAAGATCCTGGATATCTGGGGGGAAATTAATGCAATGACCTTTATAGGCTCTTTGTCCACCTGGCTTTGTGTAAACACTGATAACTGGAAAAGCACAAGCAATTAACATCTCTTCTATTTGGGTTAGACCTTGTAATTCTTTTGGAACTTGAGCTGGTATCATGCTGTTTTGAGCTGAGAACTTTTTAATACTGTTCTTGTCTCTTACACATCTTGAACAAACTTAGTCTGCTTCTTTTTTGTTTTTTACTGACAATGGCCATGCTTCATGGCAAACTCGGCAATGCCAGATTTTGAAAATCATGGACTCATGAAACCTCTTTATATTAATTGCTGCCCACTCCTGATGGTGAAGTTGTCCATATGTTTTAGCATCAAACAGTGAAAGATACTTATCTTGACTTACCACAGGACACTGTTTTGTTTTTTTTTTTCAATGAACTGTGTTCCTGCTTCACAAGTAGTTTGATTATTAACAATTTTCATTTTACTTCCAGAGTTGTTTTGGTCACTTTTCTTTCTTTTTCTATATTCCTTCATGTAATCTTTGTTCTTAATCCTTTTTCTTAGTTTGTCTGCTTCATTTGTAGGCATTTTTTTTAATGTTGTCCTTTTCCTATAATCCTTCACATACTGTTTGTTTTTTATCCTTTTTCTTAGTTTATCTTCTTCATTTGTAGTCAAGTTTTTTTTAATGTTATTTTTTTTTCTATATTCCTTCATGTAAGCTTTGCTCTTGATCCTTTCTCTTAGTTTATCTGCTTCATTTGTAGTCAATTTTTTCTTAAGGTTATTTTTTTTTTCTATATTCCTTCATATATGCTTTGTTCCTGATCCTTTTTCTTGGTTTATCTGCCTCATTTGTAGTCAATTGTTTCTTAATGTTATTTTTTTTTCTATATTCTTTCATGTATGCTTTGTTCTTGATCCTTTTCCTTAGTTTATCCGTTCATTTGTAGTCAATTTTTTTTTATTATGCTGCCACCTGCACTCATTTTCATTAGTTATCTCTTCTAATTTACCTATGCCATTTGTAACATCTGATTTTTTGTTTCTGTATTTTTTCAGATGTTTTTGTTGTGTATCCAACTTAAGTCTCTTATCAGCTTCCTTTATTTCTTATTGTGTCCTTTTTTTGTTATTAAACGAATCATCTTGTTTACTTTCTTCCTCAATTTGATATGAAGAAGAGCTCAATTTGCCTGATTTAAAAAACACATTAGGCACCTGAGATTGAGTTCCACCCTGCATGGTTTCATAGCATTTGTCTTTTGGAAATGCTTCAGTTGTGCTATTCGGCTGTAAATCAGTTTCAATTGTGGATGAACACTTTTCAAACACAGCAAAAAACCAACCATTAGGGTAATTATTCAAAAGATCCTGAATTGAAGTGAAACTTCTCACTGACACACACAAATCATCAATATATATCCATTCAGTGTGATTATTTATAGCCACTGTAAAATGATGACTTGCACAGCGTACCATGCCTTTTAGTTCATAACTTTGACTTAACACATCGATGATGTGGGGAAAGTATACTTTATTGATACAAGTTGAGGCAAGTTCTATGAGTAAAAATTTTGGAAGGATAACAAAATGTTGTAGCAATGAAACATTCCCAGAATGCTGTTGACACAGACCACAGAAAAGTGCTTTGCTACTTGGAAGTATTGCCTCAGAAACATAATTGTCAAATAAGCTCTGACCCCAGTTTTGGCAAGTAATATAAGTAACAAATATACTTGTATTTTTTATGATTGCATTGTTGTACAATGAGCAAACTGACTGATTGCTCTCTTTTACCAAAAAAAGGGATTGCAATTCCTCGGTCATAACTCCAACTGTGCTTAATTTGAATATGTCACTAAATACAGCATCTGCAGACATTGTAGCAAATGAGTTACAATGCTGTCTCAAATAAACCCAAACAGGTTCTCGAATAAGGGTCATATCCGTCTCCCCATTACAACTTTGTAAATGCACACATGCTTCAAATAACGTTTGAAAAAACTCATTCAACACGTTGCAAAGAATCTCTAAAAATAGCAAAAGTGAGTTCAAGAAAAGAGTCAACTGCACAAGAAAACCTGCCCGAGTGTGTTAAGCAGTAATTCATAAAATGTCTTCGATTGTTATTCGTCCCTTGCAACTGTTGATTGGAAGAGGTGGCCTCATTCTTCTTAATGTAACCGACACTAATGTTTCCATTTACAATATGCGCTTCTTTATTTGTTATAATGTAAGGATTAAAGCTTCCGTGTGAGGCATGGGGAATTCTCCTTTGTAAATATTTTCCGCTATATTTCATAATACGTATTATGTTCTTGTTAAATGAAAAATAATATAAACTTGAGCATCCGTAGGAAAACTTCGTACTAACCCCAGTATTTGCATTGTAATGATGTAATTTCAGTAAAAATATTGTGAGTACTGCGTATCATAAACACACCATGATTGATAAGTGCGAGAAATATACAAACTGCTTTGATTCCGTTTGTGAATACGCTGTTTGGAGGGGAGTAGTCCGTCAACGCTGCTCAATCGAACTTTCAGTGCAAAGTGAAAGTGAGAGGGAACAAGCTACTTCGATTCATGAACTTTCAGTTCGATACGCTAGTTCGATTGATGAACAAGCTCGTTCAATTCTGTGGTGAACACGCTGGTTCGATTTCATGATTGCTGAACTTTCAGTTCGATACGCTGGTTCGATTGATGAACACGCTCGTTCAATTCTGTGGTGAACACGCTGGTTCGATTTCGTGTCTCGAACACTGAATTTGAACACTGGATTTGCTCTAGTTCCAACAGTTTTCCTCAATATTCGAATTAGATGAAGAGTTTTGTAAAGGCGCGCTGGCCGATTGAAGTTTCAGTTTGATTGATGAACACGCTGGTTCTATTGATTGCTGAACTCGCTGGTTCAAATGAGTAGCGAACACGCTGGTTCTATTGATCTCTCTTCCACTGTATAACACGCTAGTGCTATTGGTCTCTCGACCACTGTATATTCTGAGCAAAGTGAGAAGAAACAAGCTACTTCGATCGATGAACTTTCAGTTTGATACGCTAGTTCGATTGATGAACACGCTCGTTCAATTCTGTGGTGAACACGCTGGTTCGATTTCGTATCTCAAACAGTGAATTTGAACACTGGATTTGCTCTAGTTTCAACAGTTTTCCTCAATATTCGAATTAGATGAAGAGTTTTGTAACGCTGGTCCTATTGATTGCTAAACTCGCTGGTTCAAGTCAGTAGCGAACACGCTGGTTCTATTGATTTCTCAACCGCTGTATAACACGCTAGTGCTATTGGTCTCTTGACCACTGTATATTCTGAGCCTATGAAATTCTTTACAATTCAATAACGACCACAACAAAGAAAACACTCACCTTCTACAACAAGATCGGGCCGCTTGCACTTCAAACCAAACGAAGAGACGCTTCCACAAACAAGCTCATCAAACAACCACGCGAAAGTGTCTAGATGTACCGCCTCCTGATTGGTTAAAAACTACAATGTAACACGTCGTTTCATTGGCTTGAATAGTTCCTTCCTTGCAATTGGCTTAAACTGAGACATTCTTACATCTTACACCTTACACCTTACACTTACACTTTTCAATGCCGATAGAGAATTTTTTTCGCATACACCATTCTTCGCGCGGCACTATTCTCTGCCGCCTCGCCAGCCGAGCGTCTTCGCTCGGCTGGCTCGTTGGCAATTAGTTTTAACCTGAACAGTTGATGACGGAGGGATGTAAATTGAAGTAGCAAGATCGTCATCCGCAACTTGCTTTAATCGTGTCTATAAATATAACCAGCCCTGTTCACGCTTGATTTCTTGTTGCATCTCCTACGATTTCGTATCTTACCGCAAGAATTTATTGAGACCCCTTCTTGGGCTTTGGAGGCAAAATAATTTAATAGTTCGAAATATAAAGACGTGTGCCTCAAATTTTTTTCAAATCTGTCACTTGCATGCTACACGTTGTAATATTCTCCATCTTTCCACAAACGCTCCTGTTCCCACGTACTTTTTCCGTGTTACGAAAAACAACTCAAAGCACTGTCATGTAACTCATCTTGGGTCATTGATATCGATATAAGACACGCACAGAGCATAATTCTCACAGATAGCGTGTACACTCTAGTCACGTGAAATGCCTGAGTTCATATAAATAGCACAGCCTTGCCTTGCCTTGCCTTTAAATTGGCTGTTTGCAGTAACGGCAAAATCACACCCAGGTTTCCTCCATAGAGGTCTACTACAACTCTCTCGTCCATGAGTCATGGCTGTTCCGTTCCTTTTCGCCTCTGTCGCTTCCATGATTCTTCTTATGATACCAACCGGTAAGTAAGATTCATAATCTTTGTTTCATGCATAACAGACTGCCACCTCAGCTCAAACAGGAAAGCTGACTGCTTTGCACATTTATTGAACTTGTTCTTCCGAAAAATTAGGCCAGAATATTGCCCCAGAACACTTTAACTTTGCTTTCTTTGGTTATTCATTTGGTGTAGTCAAATCAAGATGCGTATATCGCAACAACGAAATCTTTGTAGTCACTTTCACATGTCTTCTACGAAATCATGGCCATTGGAGCTAAATTTAAGCAGGATGACGTATACTGGTCTCTTTCCTGTCTATAAGTTGCATTATGATACTACTAATGCTTTGATAAAGCCTTTTGTAACCTTCAATTGGAAAATTTCTGTTTTATTAGAGACTCAAATGAAAAGCAAGAAACTAGCTAAATGCGCCTCGCACACACATACCTGACACAGGATAACTTTGATTATCGTTTTTCCAGCTTTAGCACAACGCGTCGGGCTTTTTGTTGATCGCAACGATTAAGTTTTCCTTTTTTTATTTTGGTAAAAGCATTGAAGTCCATGAGCAAAGAAGAATTGAAGGAATGTTACTTCTAGAATCGCTAGAATTTAACTGAGTCGTTGTGTTGTGATCTGCGTGAGCGGCCTAGGAACTCCATTGACAAGGTAAATAGGAGCACATAATGCACGTAGCCTTTTAATTCCCTTTGCTTTTTTCGCTTTCAATTTTCCTGTTTTGTGAGGGAAATAAACAGGAACTTAAAATAACTCCTAGAAAAACAGTTCGATGGGCTTTTGATGAAAGCGGAAAAACCGATTCGCACGTGTTCTCAAGATCGGGCATGTCCTCGAAGAATCCTTTTGCAGCTAACAATTTACACGTTTTACACGTTTACACAATTTATGATGCAGCATTATATTTCGGAACGGATCACTTTTCAACTGCAATTATCATCGGATAAAAACTCAGCAGAGGGTTTATCGTTAAGGGAGCAAACAGTACAACACTTTGAAATGCAGCTGTTTCAAATCAGTATCGACCGGACTTCAAACGTGTTGCGTTCTCCCGCTGACGTAATTAGATCAAGGATAAGCCTACTCGTATACAGTTAAGAAATCATAATCCGCAGGCGTGCAGCGGTGGATAATCGATTGTTGTCAGCTTGTTTTCATTCACATGAGGCTTAATGCAGTTAGAACCTTCTGCTTGAGTACCGCACACGTTTGAATATCACAACTGAATTTGGAGTGCCACACTAGGATAATAATTATACAAGAAAGATGATAAGTTAAGCTATGTACAACGGTGCGTTTGGCGAGGAAACCTTCATGAAACCACAAGGCTTGTGCAAAGCTAGGTGTCCTCCCAAAACAGAGAACTAAAGTTCGTACCAATATTTAACAATTGTTATAATATGAATCAATCGCCAACATACATTCTGTGTTGAAGGTAATTTAGTGTTAACAACTGAGTTGAAAACGTAAATTAGCCACCGTAGAGGGTAAAAAAGCTGACGTTTCGAGTGTTAGCCCTTCGTCAGAGCCAATCGCTCTGACGAAGGGCTAACGCTCGAAACGTCAGCTTTTTTATCCTTTACAGTGGCTAATTTACGTTTTCAACTCAGTTGTTAACACTTAATTACCTTCTATACTCTCCCACCGACGCAGTACCACAGTTTCTTTAGAAACTTACCCCTTTATACATTCTGTATTGAGTCGTAAGAATCATATGATAACATTTGTATTTCTTTTTACCCAACAGCTATGTCTCTTCAGTGTTACGAATGTAACAACCTTCCACAAGTTCTTGGCGGAACTAGTTGTAACCTCGACAATGTGAAAAAGCTCATTTGTCCTCCTTTTTACGACAGATGTATGAAGATGAAGTATGACATGTCTATCGGCATTGGTGCACCGCAATTCGTCGAGCTTAGAAACTGCTCAGTTAGCGCAGCCTGTGATCCCCAGTCTGACTTTAATTGTAAGCTCTAGAAAGAATTTCCTCTCCATCTTCACTTAAATCGCATAACATGACGATTCTTCTTTGTTCTTGTTAAACCAAAGTCTTAGTTTGATTTTACTAGCGGTATTACACCACGTATTTCTTTCTGCTAAAGGATCTTAGTCAACCACAAATCATTGCGCGCTTAGTCCTCCATTTTCTATGCCCTCCAATTTCGTAAAATTTCCATTGTGGCCTACCATCCAAGTGCATCCGAGCGACTAATATATTTAAGTCTTCAATTGTCGTATCATTATTACTGAACAGACGCACGGCAACTTGGAATCTATTTGTTAATTAGATGATGAATTATGAAAACTGAAATAGTCCGTGAATGCAAAAATGAAATTCCGTGAGGAAAGCGCCAGGGGAGATTTGTTATGACACTATTTATAGGAAAAAGCTGATAAGCAGGAGACATGGTTTATATCATGCGTGATATGCCCTGCTAGTCAGGTTTGGTGTATGCAGCCAAAAAAAAAACAAACAAACAAGGGTTGTGCATGCAGTTAAGTTTCTACCTTTCAAGGGTAATATTTGTAAATTAGTTTATTTAATATGTTGCTGAGTGGAAATAGCATTTGGGGATTTTTAAGGTCGTTGAAACTCTCACCTCTGTGGTTGAATCTCTAACTGAGAACTACTCATGTAAAAGCTGTTATTCAGTTCGTGCTGCTATGGTCACGTGCTAATTTTTCATGCTGTACTAAGTGCTTCTGACTTTTGGGAGTATAGAAAAAATCTCAGTGACCATTCCTAAGAACGTTACGGAGCTGCAGTCCCATGTTAAACGGTGTGCTAGATACTTCCTTTCGATCTTTTGATCCTGTGGATAAAATCCTTGTGAGTGCTTATTTATCTCCAAGCTACTAAAAGAAGTATCTGCTTTCATGCAGAACACCAGAAAAGCTCCTGTGTTGTTAAGTTATTACATGTAATTTCACATTGATTGAAAACTATTTTTTTTTAATTCAACAGCGTGCAAAATGCTCAGTGATGGCGTTCTAGTCTCCAACTGTACAATGGACTGTTGCCAAGGCGAATTGTGTAATACTGGAGGGTCCACTTCAAAGCCATCTACAGCTGGGGAGGGCTCAACTAAAAAAGGCATCCAGTCCACTGCAAGTGTGGTCAAGTCCACTACATCTAAACCATCCGGCGCAGTAGTGGGACCAGCTGTGAGCCTTGCCAGCATTTTGTCCGCCGTAGTTCTACCAAAGATTGTGGGATTTAACTAAGACCAGCTATCTCTTGCTATTTCATTTCATAAATTTTGCCACTTAAAGCTCGCTACTTCTAGAAAAATATGATACACTGTTTGTTACCAATGTTAGTTTTATTACTAGTAAGGATTTAGAGTGTAACTGATTTCATCCTGGGTGAAAACGCGTACTGCTTTAAATAAAGGATTTTGTTAACGAATTTTTTGGTCCAAAAATATAAGCCAGAAACAAAGGAATAACAGTATGTTCCTTTAAAAGAATTTTAAATCATCCTCTAGGAAAATGTATATAATTTCAAATTATCTAAGGGGAGTCTTTCTCAAATTACCGTCCCACCAAGAAATTGTGTCACGAAATAGGTTAAGCTCCAAGAATGTGATGATAAATAAGTTAGCCAAAGTATTCATCAATTGCAAGGCATGTTTTACAATGACCTCCGCAAGTATCTTTTTTTTCTGAATGATTTCCTCTCAAATCGTTCCTTAAATTAGTTGCTGGTATGGAGGTGGAATAAAAACAGTTCACTACTCGATATTTTCCAATCCTGGTGGAGAGAGGCCATAACTCGCTTTCCCCTATTAATTTTACGTCTCTTGAAATAAGTGTTGCAACGACGCATGCGGGGTGAAATTTGACCTTTCAAGAAGACTGATACGGTAAAGGGAACTTTAACATGTTTAAAACTATGACCTGCTTCATCAATAGCATTGCTACACGCGTTTGAATTTAATTCCCGGCTCAGTGACTGAACATTACCAGGAGTAATCTTTAAGCTTGTAAACGCGTTTGAATTTAATTCCCAGTTCCGTGACTGAACATTGCCTAGAGTAATCTGTAAGATTAGACTTGGTTAAAAACCATACACAAAATAATCCGATTTCGAGAAAAGCGGGTAAACTTTCCTTACATTAAAACGCGACTTCGCATCCAACTGAATGCTGGGATTGGCCAACCTTGTACCAGGTCATGTTGTTTCGCGCGGCCGTGATCTTTGTTGTTGTGTGAGATGTAGAGCCAAAAAAGCTTCGCAAATTCTTTTAAAATTGTATTTTAGCAAACCTTTTTTTCTCTCCCTGATGGGCCAAGGACATCATTGATCTGAGTGGGATTGTGAAAATGATCATAGACATCCCGAAATGTAAAAAATTTTAACGAAACGTTTTATTTCCAATTCGTGGGTTCGCACAGAAGTCCGTTGTTACACTTTCCGTTCCATCCCGTTTCGCACCGCGCGCCTTGCTCTTGTTTGTCATAATCTCGAAAAGCTTCTCAAACGTTTCAAAAAGTGTATGTTTGCAGACCTTCTTTCGCTCCATGATGGGTCGAGGAGAACATGTAACAAACCAAGACTCTTGTAAGTTACGTAAATCTTTTACGTAACTTTTAGAAAATAAAAAAATCTTTTAGAAAATCTTTTATTTACATTTCGCGGTAAAACTTGAGTTCAAGTCATTTTCAGCTTCCATCACAACTTTGGCATTGTTTTCTTGAGGCACAATTCCGCCTGTTTTTTTTTTCTCTTCTTGGTCCGATTTTTAAAGAGTGCTTTACTCTTTTGGTTTTCCTCAGAACTTGAAACATTTCAGACACAAATCAATGAAAATGCAACATGCAAATTTGTCGGGCTTACCAGATAATCGCGTGTTACCAGAAGCTATTACTGAATAAAATGCAACGAAAAATGACCTACAAATGTCTCTTTATTAAAAAAAAGGGCCAAAATTGACCGTTCAGAAGCAAAAAAAGAACGAATTTCTAGCATTTACAATACCCGTGTGATAGATTTATCATACTGGAATCGTTGTTTACAGGACTCACGGTCATAAAATTGCGTAGCGTTATGTTGAAAATTCTAGAGCAATTAATTTTGTATGTGGTCTAAGTTTACATTTCTTGAATTAATTTTGAGAGAACCTGAGCTTGTAATTGGTTTATATTTGGTTTCCTCGCCATTAATCTGTTTTGTCTTCACCAATTTTTAAATTTTTTACTTTAATGAAAATCGTAGAGTAAAACAAATAAATATAAAGGGTTAAATCCTTCACATGGTCTTAAGAGATCTGTTCAAATTAAAATAAACTTTTCTTTCCATGTTTTTGGTTCTGTTGCGTAACGCTGTTTGAGTCAGGGGTTCGCTTCCACAAGTCCAAATCAACAAATCACCTTTTTTTCAACTGGGTGGGGTGAAGTCAAAGATGAAGGTATGAACGCATGACAAAAGTACATAACTTCTTTGCGAAATGCAGGGGTAACCCTCGATCAGGGTGTGCTTCAAGCCCATTTATTATATTGCATCAGCAAATGCGAGTAGTTAATGACCCTTGCACCTGAGCTTCTTGAGGTGCTCGATAGACAGCTCTTTCATAGAGAAAACAAATAAGGAAAGAAGCCCTGAATGGTATTTACTTGTTACGGCTGAAAAATTTGACAAGTTATTTCTTTGCTTCTGGCCATTGGATATTCAGAGTCAATATCACCCAAACAACTGCTATGAGTAAGAAAGGGACGATGGGTGGGTAAAGAATCTAAGTCTGTTTAAAAAGGTGAAAATAGTGAACACCAAAGAATGGGCTCCACACAACGTAATGTCAAGTCCAAACTCTAAATTCAAAAATCAAAATTAACAAATTTATTCCCTTTGGCTGATACTAAGATTGAAACACAATTACCTCAGGTTTTTTATCAAAATACTTGACTTCAAAACAAAGAGATATACTATTTTTCCCACTTCCCTCCCCTTTCCGTTCCCTCACATTCCTCCTTCCCTCCTTTTCTGACATCATGGGGTTTTGATGTTGCTCACTTCTTGAACAGGGCTGCAGCTAAAAATAATACCTCCAGTGGACTTCATTGACAACATAGAGGTTTACAAATCAACTGATGAACTTCTGGTACAGAGCCATCAAAATGGCAGCGAAGCCTAGGAGCCAGACTGACAGATTAGCGGCTTCAGCCCCAGATCCACCAGATTCACCTCTGTTGCAAAAGTCTCCCTCACAGCAATCCATTGAACAAGACGTCATGTTAATTGTACTACGATTACATACTATAAAAGAAGAAAATGTGATGAAAAATTAAATATGAAAGCTAGAGAAAAGCTCCTTTCTAACAGGACACCCTATGCTCGATACTTTTCTCCTCAATTTTTCGGAATGAGTGACCCTTTCCAATAAGGGACACCAAGACTCGATAGTTAAAGTTTGTTCTCAATTTTCAGAAACACTGCATTACCTCTTTACACCCTGAAATCACCAGGCGTATACTCATATGCTTTCCCCATGTTAGGAGAATCTGCATGACAATCTAGAGCTTCTTTAATTGGCGATCATTTTCTGTGCTCTCTTAACCTAAATGTTTGACTCAGCAGTAATACTGTTAGGAGAACTTAGATGCCAGTCAATCTTGGGGGACTAAGACTAACTATCAGCCTCTTAAAATACCTTGAGATTCAAGCCAACCAGTCTTTATGGGCATTGTAAAATATCAGGTTCAAAAGACGTTGAAGTCATCTTTACTCTTGTTGTTTTTCATGTCTTGTTTTTTTGTTTATGTGATTTGATTGCGAGCATTTCCCAGGCTTCTAATCATCATCAGAATGATCATTTTAGAGCGAATTTCGATTGATTTTCGTAGACCAAAACCAAATTAATCATGACAGCTAATCAAAATGAGAGCAAGCTGAGAGCAAGCTGAGAGCAAGCTGAGAGCAAGCTGAGAGCAAGCTGAGAGCAAGCTGAGAGCAAGCTGAGAGCAAGCTGTCTAAAGCAAGGGAAAACGCCAGTCACGTTTGCTTTTGCTTTTGAATCTGATTGGATGAGAGGATGGCGTAATCTTTTTTTTTGGACCAAGCATAGAGCGAGATGAAGCAAATCCAAAACATTCCCGGAAACGAAACTTTTACTCAAATATTTTACTTACTGTTTGCTGGCCCGTCCGGTGCACACATTAAGGCGCTGATGGAACAGTTTTTCAATTTCATATCAAACGGACCAATGTCAGGGAACATTGCTTTAATGTCGATGGTCATGCATCTATCATAACCTGCAGGACACTCCAAGACTTCTGGTTCAATGCAGGATTTACCTGTATATCCAGTTTCGGGTGGTAAGTTGCTGCATACGTCGCACTTTATTGCGAATGCTGTCAAGTAGCGTAATAAGGTCAGATTCTAAGTCTCTCTTATTTCACAAAAATCATCAAATCAATTGAAATTTTTTATCTCTGTTTAAAGCTAATGTTTATTGAGTAATCGAAACAATTGAAACACAAAAAGCATATTTTCAACAGAATTCGAAAGCATCTAAGCGATTATACTAAAACAACTATTCGCCTCAGATTCAGTGAATATTTGCGAATAATAATTAATAATAATTGTTTAATAAAAGAAATTTTATTCCTTTACCAACAATAATGCAATAAATGTTTGTCGTAACAATGACATTTTCCAGTTTTGTGTTTTACTCTTGTATAAAAGCACCCTCGATTCCGGATCTGCGAGAGAAAATAGAAGCTTTGGATTCGTGCACATTGCTTCCAGAACTTCAAAGATGTTAGTGTATTTTTCATCTCGCTTAATTTTTTTACTGGTAAACAGTCTACGGGCAACATGCAATAGTTTTTGTTTGGAAATCGATTGAAGACATGTGAACTGTAAAGAGATAAGGAGCCATCGCTCCATTGTAGATATTCATGGCTACGTAATTACGAAGACAATATTGATAAAAAATATAATTTAGTCAGCTTCCTTTTTAAAAACTTGTCACTTCTCTTGCATAATTTTATCACCGATTAAAATACGAAGTAAAATTTAGGGCCAACAAGTCAGTTTGTGGTACTTGCCAAATCACATACGTTTTCTATTTTTCACGTGCCATGGGTCAAAACTCACTAATTCCTTGTATTAAAAACAACTTGAACCTTCGACTTGCACGTGATGAGGTCCTGCACCTTGAAACCGTGGCGCATTTGTTCGCCGGCCGTCTTCATAAAACAAATAATATTAATTTTGCAATTAAGACGTAATTCGTACATAATTTGTCGTGTTTTTGAATAAAGAGCTATTGTTGACTTCTGTTATCCGCAGCGCCTGTCATTAACAACCTTAAAAGCCTTAAAAGCTCTCTTTTCAAATAAAACTCAAGACATCTTTGAGTTGGCTTGCAGGGGGCTTTTCTTCGCCAAAGATTTTTTGTTAAAGTCAGTTGAGAGGTTTCGCAAGCATACTGTCCTGTCGTTTTAAAAGTGCTTAATAACCCTAATCTAAAAGCTCTCTTTTAAAATAAATTTCAATACATCCTTGAGTTCACATGCGGGAGTATTTGATCGCCAGGCCATTTTGTTCCCCTTTTTTAAGTTTTGAAGATTTAACAAAACACTTATTGAGTGGCCCGACGGCAGAAAGTAAGCTTCGTTTCCCTTAGGGCCATTTAGTAAGTGCCTAATAACTCTAAAAGCTCTCTTATCTAATACAGTTCAAAACATATTTGTGTTGAGTTGCAGGAATTAAGTCCTTAAGCTCCCTTTTCAAACATAATTCAATGCATGAATAAGCCAATTTGTTAAGTGCTAAATAACTCTAAGTCTCTCTTTTCTAATACAATTCAACTTGCTTAATGGCAGGAACCTTTGATCACCGAGCCATTTTGTTCCATTTTACAGCTGGGAGGTATAACACAACACTACTAATTGACTGGTGCAACGTAAAACAGTAGGTTTTGTTTCATTAAGTGCTTAAGCTGTCTTGCAGGAGTCTTTGATAACCAAGCTATTTTGTGTTTAAACACCAATAACTAGCCCATAGACGTACTGCACGCCTTTCTGTTCAACTGATATCGTATACAAGAATACGTGTGAGAAATCTGGCACTCTGACGTTGTTTAACATTGAAGAGTCGAATTGAACACAATTAATACTGATAAAACAATAGAATAATCTCTTGCAAACCCTTTTAGCTCTCAAAAGGACTCCAGTTTGAGGTCTGCGTTCGCTTAAAAGAGGTATTTGCGGAATACAGCTTATTTCACATTAAACATGGCAAATGATATCAAGCATTGAGTTGGCGTCTGCTTTTTGGGGTGCACATAACACCTTCATATACGTTTTGCATTACGAAACTTGTTATGTTATACTTAACCTGAACAGTTGATAACATGCTTCGCGGACTCAGTAGCTCAAAAGACGATTGAATGAATAAATAAATGCAAGAAACACATGAACGAACAACAAAATTATAACACTTTCATCGCGTGAGCTTTGATAACTTTCAATCTGCTTCTATGTGATTTTTCTATTCGTCTTTTACTGATTTTAAATTCCGGGTGTTTGCAGTTTCAACTTGATCGGACCTTAATTTGAAACGCGGAAGAGAACTTTTCCCACGAAAGTTTTAAAAGGCAAGTCGCTCACGGAATACCAAGTAAGGAGGCGGCAAATTTTACGCTCGGGTCCCAACGTGATTAAGTAAATTGAAAACAAATTGACGTCTCCATTTTATATCAATTTCGTACATTCTGAAGGAACATCTCGTTTTTTCGCTTTTACTTTCATCTATCAAATCCGTTTGAATCTGTGCGCTCCCAAAAAGCCGTGATCTTAGCTGATCTTGGTGTAATAGTTCCGCAGTGACTCAACATTTATGCATTTGAGCCAGATATAAGGAGCTAGAAGATGTCAACGGAAATTCTTTTTTAAAAAGGAAAATTCAGGAAGATAAACTCACCAGATGATGCACTGCACAAAGTCACTAGAGCAACAAAAGCGACAGAAAAAGTTTCCATGGTTCCAACTTTGCTACCAGGGTGTGAGAATTGATCATCAAATGACGAACGCACTGCAAGACGAAACTAATTCGCTGTAAATTGCAATGACAACTGACAGCAGTTGGGCTTGGTTGTTAGGTATTGTTGCACTCAGCCAATCGAACGGGTAGTGGCATTCAAGCGGAAAACATCGTCTTACAGGCCGCGAGCAAACCAAAAATTCGACTGATCCACCCGCTCACAGAAGTGATCAATGGGCAATTATTGCCAGCTTGCAGTATGAACTTATTATCAAGCCGACAAGTAGCGGAAATGGAAAAAAATTCCAACTAAGATGAATTGTTTGGATTTAACACCAAATTCTCCGAACAAACATTATGAGGAAAGTATGATAAACACTATGAAACACATTCATGTCACCGGCTACAACGAAAGATTTAATTCACAATTAGATTGTTTGAAATTATGATGATCGGTTATTAAGCCTTCTTGCAGTAGAAACTGAATTACAAGGCGGGTCATAATTTACAAATACTTCTACATTATGCATACATAGAACTATTTTAGATATCAATTAAATATAAATATTAAATATTGTGTAAACATTAAATATTATAAGTAATAAGATAAATTGCAGTTAAGTATATTACACATGATTCTGATATTTAATAGTACAAAAATTTCCAAATCTAATAGATCTTGAGGAGGTAGGTACAGGCACAGTTCTTCCTGCCCTAAGGGCATATGGTCTTGAAAATTGACATCGCGGTACTAAATTTCGTAGTAGGTCAGAAGAGTAGTAACTCCGCTTAAGGAAAGTGACGCACGCATCCTCCCTCCTCTGGCATAGATTAATTAAGCCTGACTTCTTAAGCGCGTCCTCATAACTCATAAACGGGAAAATGATTTTTAGAGCCCTCTTTTGAACCGACTCAATTTGATCACTCAAGTACTGCGTGAGGCCAGCCCATACAGGACTTGCATACTCCAAGACAGATCTGATGATGCTACAGTAGACCAAGATAAGCTGCCCATCAGTTAAACCACACTTCTTAAGAGCACGTATTGCATATAACCTCTTGTTTCCTTTCTTTACAATATGAAATACATGCTCGTTCCACGTTAAGTTATCTGATAAGTGTACCCCCAACAACTTGTAACAGGAAATCTTTTCTATTATAGAATTTCCAACAGCTAAAGGGGGTGGCGAAAACGGGCAATACTGTAAAAACGTAATGCACATTTCTTTGCACTTCTTGCTGTTGAGAACCATTCCCCTAGAGAAAGCAAACGAGTAAATTTCGGACACAGTAAAATTCAAGTATGAAGGAGAAAGCCTTGGGACAAACTCCATAACTGTAGCGTCATCTACATATTTCACTCTATTTTTACAATTAAAGGCCATACTGTTCACAAGAATACAAAACAAGATAGGGGCCAATTTAGTTCCTCGGGGAATTCCGCCATTCAGCTGTATTGTTGGGGACAGCACCGTCCCCACCCTCACCCACTGTTTCCTATTTGTGAGGAAGGCAGCAATCCACCTCATCAAATGTGGGTCCACATCCAGGTTACCCAGTTCATGCAGTAGAGCATTATGATCCACAAGATCAAATCCCTTAGAGAAGTTAGAAAAAAACAACCTGACATACATCTCACCACGGTCAATCGTCTCCAAAATTGTGTGAAGTAAATATACCAATGCCTATCAGCTATCAGATTATAATGCTGTACGAGTCTTTTAAGCTCTCTGGAGTATTGTTAATTGAAATATACGTGAACTGTTAGTTAACTGATAGTCATCTGTAAGTTAATTCTAAATTAACTAATGAATGGCGCCGTTCTTTTGAAAACAAATTATGAAGTACCGATTGACTCATCTAATGCGTTTTACCCTATTTTTTATTATCTGAAAGCCTATGTAGTCCACAACACAGCCTCAAAGCTGTTTTAACCCAGATTGTTAAGTGCAACAGGATGGTGTAGCATTAGTTGCCCACACGATTTTGAGTCCAACAAGGAAGGTTATAAAGCGATGCTTTTCAACGTCTTTGCTAATGATCTTTGTCTTCTTCATTACAGCTATATGCAGATGACACAACCCAGTAAATAGCTCATTAGCGCCCACTGTACTTGAATTCGCCCTAGATCAAATAGCTCATCAAATAATTTATTAACTACTGAAAAATCTTTTAAATAGGCATATTTAACAATGAAATTAGAGCTGAAATTATTATGTCAGCTGAGAAGCAAAGCTTACTAGTTGGTTTTGTTGTACGCAAGTGGAATTGACGTCCGGTGTATTATTTCTATAGGAGCATAGAATAGCTCCTTGGGAGGGGTGGAGAGGTTAACAGCCCCTCCCCCTCCTCCTTCAGCAGCTTTTTTTTGTTTTGTTTTTTATCCTTAATTAAACTAATAGAATAGGACTGTTTTACGTGAAGCTGTATCACTTCAACCTAATGACTCCTTTATTTTCTGTTCCTGTTTATTTCCTATTTTCAAACGACTGCAAAGTTAAAGCAATAGCAGAACCAGGAGACTCGTTTTTCACAGGAAAGCAACTATAGTATATATCAGCTCATCATTTTTCATTGTTCTCATTAAGTGACCACACAAGCCGGCGTGAAGACGAAAGCGACGGAAAATTGGCTATTATCGTCGAAGAATAAGGTCATTAATGTGCAGAGAGTAATTTCACATTCGATCCGGGGTGGTAGTCCCCTGCTCTGAGGAAAAAAAATAGCAAATCATTTGTTTGGCCATCGATTTAGCCAGAAGTCGTAAATCGATTAGAATTGATGATAACTGAAGCGTTATTGGAGAAAGCTCTTACAATAATCTCAGTGCCATTTGCCTTTCAGTCTTATCTATGTGGCTTACCCCCAATTCAACTGAGCTAAGAACAGCCGAGCAAAATCTTACGTCTAAGAGCCAACGTTTTCGCAAAAGAACGGCAGCTAGTAATAAAGACGAGAAAATGTAACTGATGCAATGAACTTATTTGTCTAATTTTGCTAAAGGCGATGTATTCAGTTTTTGAACACACTAGAGCTGTGATTATAGGGGAATTGCGTGTTAAATTGATGTCTTTTCGTCTAATTTAACTATACCTTTCACTAATTCCCTTCATTCCGTGAAGACTGCGAGCATCTTATTTACCGGTTGGTTTCATAGAAAGAACCAGGGATGCGAGAGAGACGAAAATGAATGGAATAGCCGTGACTCGTGAACGAGAGAGTTGTAGCAGACCTCTACAGAGAAAACGTGGGTGTGATTTTATCACTACTACAAACAGGCAATTAAAATGCAGCGCACAGTTGTATTAGTTATGACTCGTCAGACATCTCACGCGACCATAGTGTGCATGTTATTTGTGAGTATTATGCTCTTCGCGTGACTGCTACCGATATCAATGACCCCAGATGAGTTACGCAATATTATGCAACGCAGAAAAAGTACGAGAGAACTGAGATGTCTTAAAGAAGAAAATGGCGGGTCGCTTGTAAGTAACAACTTTGAAAACACTTGAGGCACACATCTTGAACCATTATTTATTTATTTATTTTTGACCCTGAAAATTTCCTTGAGCTTGAACAGGAGGAGAGCAAAACGCTATTGCGGTAGGATGCGGAAACCTTTGGAGAATAGGAAACCAAGCGTGAACAAGGCTTGTTAAGAATGGAGAAGATAAATTGTTATATCAGATTGAAGACGGAAACGTATGTTGCTCCTTCATTTTGTAGTCTCTCAGTTTAAGTCAATTGTTCAGTTTAAAATTCAAAAATTTATAAATTTTTAGTACCCCGCTGAACCGGAATAATCGCATGAAACTTTCGCTTACAGTCAGAAGTATAGAATACCACTATAGGTAGTAACCAATGAGGGTGCATTCTTCGTACCACGTGACGGCTGTGGAAGAAGGTGTGTTACTAAATATGGAAATCAATCAATCTGATTGGTTACGGCAACGATTTCCATGATCCTAAAGTGTTGTTGTTCACTTAAAAATTATCAAATCTAGCGGACAAATTTTAAAATAAATTGAAAATTTACATTTTCCTCTGCAATATTTAGCGTTTCCGTAAGAAACTATGTGTTAATGGACAATCATGAAAAGATGCAGAGGTAATCCGTCTAATCTGCTAACAGTCAGTCACTGAATGTTGCAGAAATTCTGCAACCTCTCATGCACTGTGTGTCGCAGTAATTATGCAACCACTAGTCCCCTGGATGTTGCAGAAATTCTGCTACCACTCACACACTGGATGTTGTAGAAATTCTGCAACAATTTATACACTGGGTGTTGCAGAAATTCTGCGACCACTCATACTCTGAGTGTTGCAGAAATTCTGCAACCACTCATACACTGGGTGTCGCAGAAATTCTGTGACAACTCATGCGCTGGTGTTGCAGAAATTCTGCAACCACTCATTCACTGGGTGTTGCAGACATTCTGCAACAACTCATTCACTGAGTGTCGCAGAAATTCTGCAACCACTCATTCACAAGGTATCACAGAATGTCACAGAATGTCACAGAAACACTGTGACCACTCATACACTGGATGTTGCAGATATTCTGCATCCTCTCATTCACTAGATGTTGCAGAAATTCACTCATGGATACAGGAATATAACAGTCTTTCTCTGACCAGTCAATAACAGATGCCACAAATATTCTGTCAATTAACTTTCAACAGGAATTATGTACCTAAAATAGCACATGGCTTAATGCCATATGATAAAATTTAAATATTAAAATGTTAAAAAAAAGTAAGGAATACAACATACAATTTAAGTCATATCACTTTATTTTATGACCAGATACAAAAACTGAGCAAATAAGCAACCTACTCTAGCCAAAATATATTAACTAGTCACAATTTCAATCCTTTGACCTGTTTTAAAATATCTGTATACGTGATAAATTGAGAGCAATTTAAATCTTGCATTGTCTTGTAAAGACTACAGGGAAATTAATGCTAATGAAAACCTTAAAACGTTCCCTATTAAGAGGAAAACTAAATTAACAGTATCACAGATTTTAATTAATATCTCCACCAATGTTTACAGTAGGTAATAATGCTATATGTGTATCTCAATAAGAGGG